ACTGTGGCTTATTGTTAACAGCAAAGGCCTCGGAATAACAGTGATGGCCTCGGAATTCCCCTCTGAGGCTAGGAAAATATGTCTTGATTTGATTAAGCTGGTGTCACCGCTAAAATACGGTGCCACGTGTCACTTTCATATATTGACCCGTAACAATAGTCCCCCAAGTCCATATGTGGTTATTTATGCCAGGCGTGGACTTTCAATAAGTTAGGAAAAGTTTAAATTTTCTATATTTCACAGCTTTATACAGAATGGAAAAATATACAGTCCACAAACCATGGCAAATAGTAAGGCCACCATTCTTAATACCAGAGGATTGCTTTTAGGTGCCTTTGCTACCACTGAGTACCACTGCATCCTGTATGCAAATAATTATCAAATAAGCCTCATTCTCAATAAATTTGGGTCGGCATTTAAAGTAATCTTGAAAATGAAAAGTTACGTAAAATAAAATGATCTTTGGAAAGATATGCTAACCTTTGGTTTCCATCTCAGAATCTCCATAAGGAGGAAAAGAAAAATGATGAAAGAAATTGGGATTTGAATTTTCTCTTTCTTTTGTGTTTTTATAACAGTTAGAAATATTAGGATAAAGAAAGGGTCAGAGAGAGTGAGGTGCTTGGAAAAAATCAAGTCGAGCAAAGAACCAAAAAACCTCTTCAAAGAGTCAACTTCTATGACAAAAAACTTGAATTCCACGAAATTTCATCACTGATATTGACATAAAAACTTCGCAAAATCAAAGCAGAAAGTGGGGAAAACACACAAATTCACTCCTAGAAATATACCTTATTGAGATGGCATAATTTTGCAGCCATTGTTGAAGATAGAGGATTAGGAAGAAACACAAACTGGATAAATCATTCGAAACACGGGCTTAAATTTCTGGAAGAATAAGACGAGTAAAACATGGTGAAATGGGTTTTGTATACATTTTAACTTAAAACTAATTGAATCTTCTTCCTTCTTTTTGTTCTTGTTTTTTATTGATATATATTTTACTTTCTCTTCAACTTTTGATGTTTTGGCCTTTTGCTGATTCCAGTTGCTGTCAATGCACTCAAAAGTCTTCGTTTACTCTATTTGTAAATCTTTTCTGTCAAACACTAGGAGAAGAATCTTGGCACATTAGGCTTCATGATAACCAGTTCAAATACAAAAGGAAGAAAAACTTAAAAGTAAATTAAAAAATCTTACCTATTTTTTGAAAAAATAAAAAGACCAATTGATTAAGGCAAACTGAGCATCTTCAGCTTCTATTACAGATTCATGGAGTATTATGGAATCTGAATGGTGGGCATGTTGTTGTGAATAATGCATTATGTAGTTAGCACTTTTGCTTTCTCTTTTTTGTGTTCTACAAACTGTAATCTATTAGATAAAGTGGGAATATTTCATTACTAATGAAAGTAGCAATGGGTACATCATGTACCTCGCCACATTGCGTTCAACCATTTTTCTGTGTGTTTAATGGGAAGGAGTTGTAGTCATGATCTTGCAAGATGTATACAAATTTTTTTTTTCAAACTGTTTTGTCATGTCAACGCGAAAATAGACACGATAAAAGGGTAAATTCTTGGAATTAATCAAATTACAGAAGACATTTTGTTTAGAAAAATGGGTTGCGCATGTGGGTTGACCGGACCCGAAATGAATGAAAATGGGTTTTGGAGGGAGGAGTTGGAAATTGAATTTGAAACTCAACTTCCCATAATCAATAACTTCCATATACAACTTCCACTACACTAATATCATATGAAAGAATGCAAGAAAAGAGATAAGGGTTTGGCTTGATTTTGGAAGAATAATATCTCAAATTTGATTCTTGGATTGCGAATATCAAACTCCTTCCTTTGTGATTGCGTTTCTAACCAATAACTGGGTACAAAACAGTATGAAAAGGGGAAGTGTTTGACACCCATTTTGGAGAAGAATTTGATTTGTGTTGGTGTTTACAGTCCCAAAATCACAAAAGAACAACCAAAGAACAAACCACAACACAAAGA